GCTCTCCACAGTCACAAACCACTCTTCCTATTTGTTTATGAAAGAACAAAGAGAACTCTGGAAGACACTGTGCTACGTTTTAATGGGTACCAGGTCCTTTTCAGAAGTAAAAATGAATATTATACCTCATTTATGTGCAATACTACACATCGATCACAGGAAATTGGGAGTAAATAAACCAAATTTTCTTTCCAAACGAGTTAATTCCAGGTAGCAAAACCATGATGAGTGCCTATGGTATAAATAAAATCTTTAAACGTGGATGCAGTACTCTTGCCGACTTCCTTATTAGAATTTTTATTCCAAACTACATTGCAGATCTCCAAAGAATCTAAAGTATTTCCTTCTTTCTATTCGCCCTCACAAAATGTTACAAAGGGATGGAAAAGCATGGTTTCACATTTTAAGTTACCCTTTTTTTTTTTATAATTTTTATTTATTTTTCCCCCCAAAGCCCCAGTAGATAGTTTTATGTCACAGCTGCACATCCTTCCAGTTGCTGTATGTGGGACGCGCGCAGCCCCAGCATGGCCAGAGAAGCGGTGTGTCGGTGCGTGCCTGGGATCTGAACCCAGGCCACCAGCAGCGGAGCACGCGCACTTAACCACCAAGCCATGGGCTGGCCCTTTAAGTTACACTTAAGTGATCAAAAGTCATGTGAGAATAGTGATTACTGAAATTGAGCAATGTTTATTTATTTATTTATTTATTTGTGAGGAAGATCAGCCCTGAGCTAACATCCATGCCAATCTTCCTCTTTTTGCTGAGGAAGACCGGCCCTGAGCTAACATCTATTGCCAATCCTCCTCCTTTTTTTTCCCTTTTTTCTCCCCAAAGCCCCGGTAGATAGTTGTATGTCATAGTTGCACATCCTTCTAGTTGCTGTACGTGGGACGCCGCCTCAGCATGGCCGGACAAGTGGTGCGTTGGTGCGCGCCCAGGATCCGAACCAGGTCGCCAGTAGCGGAGCATGCGCACTCAACCACTAAGCCACTGGGCCGGCCCCTAACAATGCATATTTTTAAAATACTGAGGGGAGGGGCCAGCCCCATGGTGTAGTGGTTAAGTTGGGCATGCTCCACTTCGGTGACATGTGTTCGCAGGTTTGGATCCCGGGCACAGACCTACACCACTCATCACTTGTCAGCCGTGCTGTGGTGCTGACCCACACATAAAGTGGAGGAAGACTGGCACTGATGTTAGCTCAGGGCTAGTCTTCCTCAAGCAAAAGAAAAAAGAGGAGGATTGGCAATGGTCGTTAGCTCAGGGTTCATCTTCCTCAGCAAAAAATAAAAAAATAAAAAATAAATTAAATACTGAGGGGAATTCAATAGAGGAACTTTCTGTGGAGAGCTGTGCGAGATAAGCCTTCCACCTCCCTCCACCTGTAGGTTCCTCACTCTGGGAACACCCACGTGTTCTGTCTCTGATACCGGCTCAAGGTTGATATAAGGGAAGCCATATTGTAGAAAAGAAACCCTATTGTAACTTGGAATGACCTCTGACTAACTAACCCAGCTGGATATGCACCCTCCAGGAGATCTAACTGCTCTGTAGATTTTACAACCCCTGCTTGTGCACATACCTCCCAGCTGTGATAAGTTGATAACTTTGTTCTTTTGAGTTCCTTAGGATATGATGACCCCCGAACAGAGAGTCTATGCTGATAGCCATCATCAAGCAAAACTGAAAGATCTGGTGTGGCACTCCCAGTCTGTAACACCAGAAGGTCAACATTCCTAACGCCCTCCCCTGTAACCCACCAGCCTATATAACTGCTGTTAAGATTTTGTGCCCCCTAAGACAGTTCTTTGAAACGTTAGTTGGCCATCTTCCCTCTTGCTAGCAAGCTGTAATAAACTGCCCTTTCTTTTCCACCATCTTGCCTCTTGATGATTGGCTTTTGTCTCACGGCGAGGAGATCGTGCCCTTTGTGTGGGAACACCTCTGCCGAACCATTAACAGTCACTGACGGCCCCCAGAAGCTTAGTGTTTGTAGCATCACGAGATAATGAGAAAGCACATTATAAACTGTGCAGTGGTGACGATTCTTTCTTTAACACTTGGAATAAGGTAAGCAGGGAGAGAGCACTGAATCTCTGGCTGCACGCTGAGAATGGCTCACCTCATCTGCCTCTTCTCCTGACTATACTTCTGCTGAATGTGAGGCAGCAAGCTATGGGGGCGATGAATTCCCCATCTAGGTTTCAGTTAGAATGTAACTTCCTCTTACGATTTTGCAGTTCTGTTGGCACTGAATTATGTTCGAGCACAAGCTAAAGACTGAACCCTGACAGGCAAGGTCCAGTCAGGGGTCTGGCACTGGCATTATAAGGCATCAGAGAACTTGGAGAGGCACAGCAGGAGCCTCTGCTGGGTGGAAATGACTCCCACCAACTCTCCCATTCTAGAAATGGGTTTGTCTGAGGCCACACAATCAATCTGAGGCAACGCTGAGATTGTAACTCAGGTCTTCTCATCCTAGTACAGTGTCCCTTCCCCTCACCATGCTGTTTATTTTAGCTCAGCTGTCAATATTTAAAAAATTTGTTTGAAACTGTTAGTTCTGCTCCAATGCAAAGTCAAAAAAAAAGCTAAGAAAAACCCTCAAACAAGAATTACAACATGAACAGGTAATACCTAATCAACGACTCCACATGATAACTCCCTATGTCAAGTGAAGAGTCATGAAGGATACACGGGATACTTGTCACAGATGTGAGGTTTTTTGGCTTTATTGAGATATAATTCACATACCATAAAATCTTCCCTTTTTATACAGTTCAGTGTTACTTAGTATATTCAGAGTTGTGCAACCATCACGACTACATAATTTCAGAACATTTTCATCACCCCAGAAAGAAACTCTATACCCATTAACAAGTACTCCCCATTATTTACCCCCAACCTCCTGCCAGCCCCTGGAAACCACTAACCTATGTCCTATTTCTATGGATTCGGCTATTCTGGACATTTCATATGAATGGAACCATGCAACATGTAGTCTTTTGCCACTGGCCTCTTTCACTTGTTGGATCACAAACTGGCTCCATACACAGAGGGCAAGGAGAGAAGGAAGAAAGAGGCAGGCACTCTAGATTGGTAGGGGGCAGGTTTAATCAGTGAGGGAATATACTTACGATACTTGTCTTGAGCAGCCACAAGATGATCCTTTCACTGTCCACCAGAGTCTTAAAAGTTTATGTAGAGGCCTTAATGGGGTTCAGTCATGTAGACCGTCCAGATGGTCTCGACAATACACTGCTCTCTCAAGGTTGCGTCCTTGAAATGGCTCCCACTGTGCGAACAGTGAGGAAAGTATACATTCCAAGGACAGGGGAAGGGGTGAGGAGCTTCCAAACGCCCAGTTCTTGGGTCAACTGGAGGTCACATCCATTCAATTACCTCCTCCAACATCACTTAGCACGTTTTCAAGGTTCATCCATGTTGGAGCATGTATCAGTAATTCATTCCTTTTTACGGCTGAATACTATCTCACTGTATGGATATATCACATTGTCTTGTTCTATTCACCAGCTGACAAACATCTGGTTTATTCCCATCTTTTGTCTATTATGTATAATGTTGCTGTGAACGTCTGTGTACAAATTTTTTTATGGACATGTTTTCAATTCTCCTGGGTAAATACTTGGGAGTGGAACTTCTGGGTCATGGGAACTCTATTTTTAATGTTTTGAGGAGCTGCCAGACTGTTTTCCAGAGCAGCTGCACCATTTTACATCCCCATCAGCCGTGTGTGAGGGCTCCGAGTCTCCACATCCCTCCTCGTTATTGTCCTCCCTTTTCATCACAGCCACCCTAGTGGGTTGTGGCGGTGTTTTTACAACAAAAAGTGACAAAACACTCTGGGCGAGCACATTCTCTGATGAGCCACAGGACCCAATCAACCACGGGAAGCAGAATAGGGGATAATACTGATAGCTCTGTCCTATCCTACTGCCTGTGGGGTCCTCCCTGACAGTTAAGGGCAGTGGTTCCCAAAATGTTGTCCCCAAACCAGCAGCACCAGCATCCCCTGGGAACCAGGTAGAAATGCTGAGTCTTGGGCTCCGCCTCCGACCCCCTGAGTCAGACACTCCGGGGTGGGAACCAGCTCCAGTGATGCCAGTGATTCTGACACCGCTCAAGTGCAGGGGAAGGCAGAGTCTGCTGCAGAGTGTCTCTGCCCCTCAATGTCGGCCGTAACCACATTATTAATGATTAAGATGCACCAACTCCATCACGCCCTGCAAGTGACGACGACAGTGACCAAGGAAAGAACTTTTTGAAGGATTCAATCATGCAACTCAGGTGGAAGAGTTTGACACTTCCCAAGGATGAGTGACACTGCTGACGTAAAATGTTCACACTAATTAATGTTCGACACAGAAAACCCAGCTGGAAGGTAAACAGGACTTGTACAAGCACCATCCAAGGCAGTAACATAAATTCATTTCCCTCACACTTGCTGTTTTACATATATTATCCATTCAAAATTTCCAAGAGCATGCTCTCATAGTTCTCCCTCAGCTCGTTGGAAAGAGGATGGCACAGGAGCTTCACAGAACAATTATTCAGAACAGTAAAGATGACTCACCGATACTACGTGAAACAGACCACCAACACTCCCGTGACCCTGTCTGTTGACTACCATCTAAAAAAGTGAAGAAAAAATATTCTTTGGAGAACTACTGTATGTTTCTTTCATATACTGCCATTTAAAAACCTTCTCTACATACATTTCTTACAAGCTTGCAAATTCAGTTATTAGGGCAGGTGAAGGCTCTTTTCAGATACCGGTTAGATTCCCGCTTCTCTGCATCTTCCCCTGGGAGAGAGCAGCCTTAGAAAGCAAAGCCAGACTTGAATCAAGCTGGGTTTGCTCTTGCTTATCAACTTCCTCCAGGTTGCCAGGAGAGGTAGAACGCTCACATGTGCACATGGACGCAGAGGAAGAACCACACGGCTGAACGGCGGAAACCTTACTGTCAGGGCAGAACTGCTGCAACTATGCCACTTATTCCTTAAATCCCATCCTTCACAGACTGGACTGGTTTTTATAGCATTTCTCTCGTCTGAGACATCACGGTGTCTCTGAGTAAATTCAGAACTTTCTGGTAAGTGTCCAGGATATCCCGAGCAGTGGGTCTTTCCGCAGGAGTCTGGCTCTTGCATGCCTTATGAATATCAAACAAATGGAATCGGACCATATCACTGCCTTCGACATGCCCCAAAAGGAAACTGGAAACGTCTGGAATCTTCCAGATGTCGATCTTCTCATCATACGAGGGCATGAGATCATCATGAAAAGGCATGTCCTCTCCATAGGGCCACAGCTGCTCTGGAGCCACAAAATCGCCATGAAGCTCCCTGTGGCCGCACTTCACAAACATCCTGGAGCTGCGGTTCACCAGGGGCAGGGCGTCCAGGTCGTTCAGCACGATGCTGAAGTTGCTCGTCAGCAGATACTGGGACAGCGTCTTGGGCAGGTCGCTGGAGTCGCACATGACCAGTGTGCCCAGGGGGCTGTGGTGCAGGTAGCTGATGATGTTGACGTAGTCCACGGCCAGCTGCAGCCTGTGCTGCCACGTGTTCACATTTTGGTACTTGGAAAGGTTTAGTGTTTCTTCCAGGTTGCTCAAGGCACCTAGGGGGTGATACTCAGTAAGAATGGTGTTGTCTTCCTCACAGTAGCCAAGCAGCGTGACAACGTGCTGACTCTGCAGAGACTTCAGCATCTGCAGCCCATGGAGGAAATCGTCTTTCAGCTCCAGACTGGTGAGCCGTGAGAGAGCAACTTTGCGTTCCTTCCACTCTGCCAGAAAGACCTGAAACAAAGCCACAGAGAACGTCAAACCTGAAACCTTCACCTGTGTTAGTGAGCAGGAAACAACTCAGCAAGCATGTTCTAAGTGCTGGATGTGGTGCAGAGGATACAGGAACTAATGAGACACACACCCAGACCGAGAGCTGCTCTTAGGCTAGTCACAAAGACTCACTTATGGGCAAACACACGGTGCTCAGTGAGGCAAGCACCACATCCCTGTGTAGAGGCCCAGGGCAGGAGGTGGTGGAAGGAACTGACAGGTCAGGGTGCTGAGGGCCGTGTGGAAAGGGTGCTGGAGGGCTCCTGGGAGCTGGTCTAAAGGATGATCAGGGCTTACAAGGTGGATGCAGAGAATGGGAGCCCAGTCCCAGGAGATGGGACTGCATGTATAAAGGCACTAAGTGGCAAACAGAAACCAGTTCCAAAATACTGCAGCACAAAGGGGAGGGGAGGGAGGGAGAAAACTGGAGAAGTGCTCACTGGAGATCTGGAGAATCCTACGCAGGGAGTCGAGCCCAGCCAGCCTGTCACACATAACAATACTGCTCACTAATTTTAAAAGGCTGCATAGTAAACCACGAATAGGAACAGTCCTATGGAAGGAAAACATTTTTATATGGTCTGTGGTTTGGTGTTACTTCAGCTGTAGAAGCAGGAGCTGCAACGCCACACCAGTCCTGGCACACCCGCCCATCCTGGTCCACAGCTAACGGAGGAGCAACTGTACAGTACCGCCTGACTCTCAATTTGTATTAGCTGGGAAAGGCCTACAGGAAGGGCTGTGATTAAGAACCTCTGAGCTTCTGCTTAAATCCCCAGAGGGAAGGCAGAAGACTGCAGGAGAGACAACAGGCTTAGATGTCAGGAGATCGCTGCTATGGGCTGCCTCTGCCCCGCGGGCTGTGTCTCTCTGAGCTTCTACTTCTTCATCGTTACATTAAAGGTTACGGTTTTTGAAAGCAATTTGGGACATCATTTATCAAGACCCTTTAACATCTAAATCTAAAATCTATCTTGGGGCCGGCCCAGTGGTGTAAGTTCATGTGCTCCGCTTCAGCAGCCCAGGGTTTACAGGTTCAGATCCTGGGCACGGACCTATGCACCGCTCATCAAGCCATGCTGAGGCGCTGTCCCACAAATAAAGAAGGGGACGAAGATGGGCACAGATGTTAGCTCAGGGTCAATCTTCCTTAACAAAAAAATAAATAAAATAAAATCTATCTAAGGCAACAACCTGAAATAGGTAAAAAGCTCTAGGAATAAAAATCTGGCATTACTTATAAAAGTAATGGAACCTAGCCACCCATCAAGAACTGGGGGTAGTTCAGTTACGGTAGGACCACTCAAAAGAGTATTATGTGGTCAGCAAAATGCATCTACTGATGGAGTTTCCACAGAAAAAAGTAACGCTACAGGTGAAAAAGGACGTGTGCAGCTCTAACTGTGTAAAACAAGACAAAATGACATAGACACTGAAGGAGACAGGCTAATGTTCCAGTTCTCTTTATACGGTAAGATTCTGGATTTTTTTCCTTTATTTCTTTTGGTATTTTCCAACTTTTCCAGAATGAACATATATTACTTTTATATTTTAAAACTTTTTTAAAAGAACTAAAAAATATTATGTCAAATGGAGGTGGGCTAGAGGATTTTGAAGATTTCTTTTGGATCCAAGAAGGGAGGTTCATTAATGGAAAAACCCAGGTAACTACATTTGACCCTTAATATTCAAGAGAGAAATCTTTCAAGACCTTCTCAAAAAATCAAATTTGAGAATTTTTACTATGGATGATAATTTCTATTAAAAAGCCATTTTGCTCTGGCTGCTACATTCACTAGAAGTTTCATGAATATATATATTTTAACTTTTATATGGATCATATTCTCTCTATAGATCTGCGTCAGCATTGAATTTGATATTTGACTCTAATACCAAAATCTGATTTTTTGCTGAGATCCGTCACTTCCTCACCCCTCCTCACGGTCCCCACCAGCACCGGCAGGTGGCTTTGGTTTTCTAGGTCCATTTTTCACATAAAAACAGTGATCATCTAGGAAAGCTGCTACACTTATTCAACAATAAACGGTGGGGACATTCAACCACAGGCCCCACGACTTCCTCCTGAACCCTTGTTTATGTTGTTCATTTTTGTGCCTCAGATAAATGACAGACTATTAAATATTATTTATCTTTAAATATTATCAGTCTTCGGGATCACTCACAAATATCTGAAACCCCCAGTGTTAAATATTTGCAAGGCAGAGATTAAGAATCATTTCCCAGCAATCTCTAATTTAGTTCCTTTTTAACATTTTCTAAAACTCTCTTATTTGGAGAAAACGGCGTAATCTTTTTTTTTTAATTAGAAAATTAATCATGAATAGTTTTCTTGGTAAAAATTCAAATACAGAAGCAGTAGATCTCCTTCCCCCTGCTTTTACTTCCCAACCCAAAGGAAACCTGTACACCGTTTGGTTGGTAGCCTCCCAGAAGTTTCTCTATACTTTTCCATGTATTAATGGACACACATAAAATAGCATTTGAATTTGCTGTTACATAAAATGGGATTATAACATACATATATTGCAACTTGCTTTTTTCATTTAACTGATGCCTCAGAAATCTTTCCCGTACGTATATATAGATCTAGGTGATTTTTTTGAAAGCTGCATAATGTTTCATAGTATGGGTATACTACCTATGCTGGTATATTTTTGGTAAGGTTTCACAGATGATCATTTCTTTTTTAAAACTAAAGTAGAATATAATAAAAATTCATAAAATTTAGAACAGATGCTGTCAGAACAGATTAGGTTCATTCTCTCATGCAGCTCTATAACTCTGTATAGACCTTTAACATGATCTTATGTGATCTATTTTTAAAGACTTGATGGACATTTAAATTATTTCCCATTTTCTTCTTATTAACAACAGTGCTACAATGAATAGCCTTATATCTACATCTCTGTGCGCATCTGCAAGTGTTTTTATACACCAGGTAGGTAGACAGATTACTGAAGAATACATACAGCCATCAGTACCCTCCAAAGTCTGTGCCAACACACACTTTCACCAGTCGTGTAGGAATCTTATGTTCTACAGCCTGAATCACACTAGATGTTATGAATCGTTGTAATCTGTGTCAATCTAATGGATGAAAAACATTTTACCGTTCCAATTTGCATTTCCCTGACTACTACTGAGACTCAGCACCTTTCAGCTTCATTAGCATTTCAGTACGTCATCTGCAGAAAGTCTGTTCAGTGCCCTTTTTCCAATTTTTTATGGGGTTGTTTGCTTTGTACTTAATAATTTCTAAGAGCTCTTTATATATTATTCATGTGATCCTTTATTGTATATGTAAAAGACAAACTTTAGAAAATAATTAGCTTAGTTTATGTGGTCTTTTGTAGTACAAAGAATTTACCTGTTGCGTAGTCATATCTGTCTTCATTCATTTAACAAGTATTTATGTCAATAAAAAAACTGAAATAAATCCTTGCCTCTGTGTAATTTACATTCTAATGCAGGAGGCAGACAATAAAGAAAATAAACAGGGAATATATAAAGTATATTGGAAGGTGAAACGTGCTTTGGAGAAAAATGAAGCAGGGAAGGGTTTACAATTTTAAATAGTGTTGGGGAAGCTCTCACTGGGGTGACGTTTGAGTAAAAAGCTGAAGGAGGTAGAGGAATGAGCCATGTGATATCCGGGGAACTACGTCCCAGGCAGAAAGAACAGCAAGGGCAAAGGCCCTGGGGCGGGAGCACGTCCACAGGCTGCCAGGTCAGCAAAGCCAGGGTGGCTGGAGGGGATGAGCAAAGGGAAAGGAGTAGACGCTGGCGAGGGCGTGCAGACCCCGTAAGGCCTTTCAGTCATTGAAAGGACTCTGGCTCTTACTCAGAGTGAGACAGAGCGTCACCAGTGGATTCTGAGCAGAGGAGAGACACTATGTGACTTATAATTTAATAGCAGCTCTCTGGCTGCTGTGTTGAGAAGAGACGGAAGGGGGCAGGCGGGGAGCAAGTGTGGAAGCAGACGGACCACTCTGGAGGCTGCTGCAATAATCTGGGTACAAGACGATGGTGGCTTGGATGGGGGGAGGGGACACGGGGAGAAGTCTGAGGCGTGGTCAAATTCCGGGTCTCTTCTGAGTGTAGAGACACTGTAACCTGCTGACAGACTGAATGTGGATGAGAGGAAGACAAGTCAAGGATATTGCCCAGGTGGTGGTGTGAACACCTGGACTGATGGAGTGGTCATTAACTGTGATGGGGAGAATACAGAAGAACAGGCTGAGGGGGACGATCTGGGACACATTCAAAGCCTTTCAGACACCCAAGTGGAGATGAAGGCTAGGCAGTTGGATAGAAAAGTCTAGCGAGTTCAGGGGAGAGGTCTCAGCTGCAAATAAAGGCTCGAGGCTGGATGAGGCCACCCAGGGTGCGAGCATGGGAGAAGAAAGGTCCGAGGTTAAGAGGGAAGAAGAGGTGGAGGCTGCAAAGGAGACTGAGAAATGGACACCGTTATTTCACACTTTTAAATATACAATTCATGGAACATATGTTCTCCAGACAGCCTTAAGCATTAAAAATAGACCACATAAGATCCTTCTCAAGGTTACACAAAACTAGAGGGCTACAGGTTAATGTAAGAGAAAGAATCGAATACACTCTCCTGACAGGATCCAACGCAAACTTTATGGCTTTTTAATGTACTATAATTTTAAAGGAAAAAACACGCAACTGTAGAAACTCCAACAGTGATTTGAGATCTCTACAGTCATCATCATGGGCTGGGCACACAGAGGATACATGAGGCCACACTGCTTTCTGCTCATCCCAGGTCAACACAGGGCATGACCCGAATCATGCCCTGGCTGTCCCAGCAATGGGACTGGACCTGCTGCCTTCTGGAAGAATCTGTTCTACATAATCTTTCTTCTTCCTCACTAGTACTGTGGCCCCAAATTTATGTTTCAGAAAATGGGCCACCCCTG